GAGCAGGATCAAATGACATGACAAAGGCAAGCAGAGAAGATTTAATAAGCTGTACTAAAAGCTGAAAATAACTCAGGGAGATGATCAAATGTGCAGCATGGGGGTGGGGGAGTCAAGCTTAAAGAAAAGAGCAGTGGTGCCCACAGAAATGACCACAGTCCACTTTTATTTTAACTACTTACAGGAAGGTGATGAGTCACCTCTCCCAGAGCAATTTGATTTATTAGTGAGGTGAGTTTCCTGCTGTGGAAATTAGAGCCAGCAAAACTGCCAAAGAGGGGGGAAGAGTGTGCTCGGACATCTTTGTAAGCTCTGTGAGGAGGAGAAGGAGGAGGCAACCCACTTGGGCTGGGGAGAGGACCATGCCAGGGACACACAAGTCAGTGAGAAAGAGTTATGTTAGCCCCCGTAAGGTGCAAAATAAAATACTGAGAGAGTTTCAGATACAGAGTGGCCACAGACAAATGAAGCACTCTGAATTTAACTTCTGTTTTCTGAGTGCAGAAAATTTCACTCTTGAAACAACAGGTCACTGGGAGTTCAGATGTCCAATAAGTTACAGAGCTATGTTAATTTGTTCCACATTGAGCCTGAAGTCTACAATTAGGTGGAACAGGATTTTATGGTAACTTTTTATTAAAGTAAAAGCTCAGATTTTCAGGTACTGTGTGCACTTCCTGGACCTGACCAGCAGTCCTGCCAGAGAGCTTGGAAACCTTCGGGTACAAAGATGTTGAAATAGATAGGTAGATATTTTATGGTTTTATTTTTAACAGTTTGGTGGCTTTGGTTGGATTTCTGTTGCTGGTTGTTTGTTTTGGTGGTTGGTTGTTTGTTTTTCTATTTTTTTAATTAATATTTTTCCATTTGAAAATGTTCTCAGAAGTTGTAACTGACAGTGAAACACAGGAAAAGGGTAAATCAGTTCTAACAGAACTGCAGCCTAGCTCGGTCTGCATGCATATATCTGCCTATGTACTGTTTGCTGTTTTGGGGGAAAGGACAGGTCACTAAGAGGGGACAGACCTTCCTTAGTTGAAGTAGTTAAGGCTTTGAACTGAAGTATATGTAGATGTGTGAGTATCATTACAAATAGAGACCATACTGAGCATTAGCAGTACAACAGGATAAAGCTCTGTATAAAATAGCCTTGAATAATTACACAGCTTTAAATAAGATCGAATGTTCTCCGTGCTCACTCCATCCACATTGTCATGCATCCTTTCTAACTCTAGAAATTCAACTCTAGAAATTCTAGAATAAGGTGTTCAGTGTTCACAGAAAGCCAACAGAAGACCAGCTTGTAAATGTTTTTTCAGGCCTAACGGGTTCAAACTGGCACCATGTGTTCAAATACTTCAGTTACCATGAAGCTGGGTCCCATTCTAAGCTTTGCAGATCAGGCTAGCCAAGTTATTCACCAGGCATTATTCATTCTTACTGGCTTAGAGAAAACATTCGTCATCATGTTAATATTTGTTATGTAGGTTTATTTCATATTTGGTTTTGGAGTTTTTGGGGTTTATTTTCAATTTCCTCTGCTGCTTCAGTAACTCCTCAATTTCTTGCAGTCCTTCATTTGAAACTGTAAGTTTATTATTTCAGCTTCCAAAGACGATTATTTGGCATTGAGTAAACAACCTTAGCTATGCACTTGCTGACATTCCTCCATAATAACTCTCTGCCCCTATTTTATCGCTTATGGAATTGCTTTCTAATCCTTTTCATGGGTCTTTTTTTTTTTTTAAATAGCTTTTTTTTTTATAATAACATTTGTTAGAAAATGAAAGTAAAACCAATTAAGTCTGCCTTATTGTACTTACAAAAGATTGATGTGTGTAAAGTCTAACAGCTTATTTGGGGATTTTAATCTAAAAGTGCCCTGCAATAACATTAGCTTGTGTTCTGGGAACTAGCTGTAATAGAGAAGCCACTGCCTGCAGAGATACTGAACTAAATTAAAGTATTGTGTGCTGGTATTCTAGCATCTGCCTTATACGTTAATCTCTGGAAAATGCTTGAAAATACCCTAAAGTAGCAGCCATTTCTTTGTTTAAGTTTGAAAGCTTTTTGTATCTATTCTCATTAATGCTGTAGTGCAGAAGATTCACTGTTCAGTAAATGAATTGAACAGAAGCTTCTACAAACCAAGAACAGATTGCAGTTTTCCCATTTCAGTCTCCATTTTATTTTTGTTGTTTAAATTTGAGCTCTAGGGACCTAGGTTTTACTATGCTTGCTTCAACATATGTGTTCCTGGCTAGAAAGAAGCAAAATTGTTGGACTCAAATACTGAAAAAATTGAAATAATTTGCTGTCTGAATGACTGAGGATTTCTTACTCTACCTTAGTTTTCTCTTGAGTTATATTTGCATATATGAGACTTCAAGTGTACAGTTTCTCTGAAAGGTGGGTTCTGAAAATGCTTCATCTTCATTGTCAAATCTCTCATTTTTCTTCTCCGTTACAAAATTTTCATTCATCCAGCCCTGGATTGGAAACAATACCATGTGATTTGCAATCGTATATGACATAAATAGTTGAAGCTGTAAAAGCAGCATGTAGTAAACAAACAGACTGTAGGCAGTAATATATTTGAATACAGGATTTTTAGTCATGAATAATCCATGAGTTTATAAAAAACAGTCTGTTTATAGATAATTTAGGAATAGAAGAATGCTTTAATTCATGAAATAACTTATCTTCTCCAGCCTAAAAAAAACAATTCCATGAAATGCAAGGAAAAAAAACCAGCTGTGACGTACAGATTTTCCCAACTTAGCCGTTGCTCTTTCAGAAAATAAAGTATGCATTAATTAGGACAAGGCCTGGAAATAGATTATATATCTCCAAGTGCTCTCCCTTTAGCTGCTGATCGGTGGAGTGATGCCTATGCTGCAGGTGAACATCCTTGAACATCCTCCTGCAGATGCAACTCTGCTGGTTGAAAATTTTATTGCTTCCAGCTGCTTGTCCCTTTTCCCTGCCTGGACATTAGTCCCTTTTTAGAGCTGCTGGAGGAGCTCCTCATGCAGCCAATCCTCAATTCATCTTCAACGAAGGAATCAGATTGGTAAAAACATGTTATTTAAGTTGTTTAGGAAGTTATTATGTACATGAGCAGTTTCATTAGCAGGTCTGAAGGGACACAACTTAATAAGAAAATGATGGGTGCTCATCACCTTGCTCTGTCTCTGGCCCGGTGAATAGGTTAAGTATTGTCATGCCAAGTAAATCAGTAAGAGGAGAAATGCTAGGATGTGCATCCTGGCACATAGTTTAGCCCTACTTAGAGGTTTTAGAGGTGTCCTTGGGGTGTCTGGGAAGGCCTCCTATTATAGGAAAGAGACCAATATCTATTTGTCAATCTAGCCTGAAAGAGTGCAGGTGTTTCAGATATAATGATTATGGCATTTCTGAGCCTTTCTCTTCATTGCTTTTCTTCAGCCAAAGGTGTCTGTTGAATTTGAACGAAACTATATCCAAAGTATATAACTAATTTGAAAAATGTTTTTTATAGCTAAAAAACTACTTTCCTTCTCCAAACGAAAAAGTCCATCAACTCCCTTCCCATCTGAGCTCTTTCCTGCTTCTGATGCAAGTTCCTTTAACAGTTTACAACAAGCTCTGTATGCCTTTCACGTCAGGTCATGTACTTAAAAACAATGCTTACAAAGCAGGAACTCTATTAGGATAAATTAATATCTTAAAGTGCTTGCAATAAGAAAAATCCTTTAATTGTTTTAAGTAGGAATAGTAAAATCTAGTTTTAAAATTATTACAGAGGAAACAATTTGAAATGGGAAATCAGAAGAGGACTGTGAAGAGAAAATAATGAAGGGAGAGTGTGATAGTGTTCCAGACTGAAGTTCCTTATATGTATTTAATTAAGAGCCAATAAAATAGGATTTAAATGTACATAAACTAGACATAGTAGAAACTTGTTAATTTGCACTCTAATAATTTGCAAGTTTTTATAATTCATGAAAAAAAAAAAATAGAAGCTTCCTTCTGCCTCCCAGCAATGGTTTAAACCAGAGGCAGTAGTGAAGTAGCCTATTATTAACACTTAATTTCGTTGGCAAGTACACCGGAAAGCAGTATCTAATTCATGAGACTGTGTTATAAGGGATTAACTACAGGATCATAGATATTAATGCACCGTAAAGTGTACTTCATTTTATCTTTGCATTCCTACTCTTTCAGACAGCACTCAGTGTAATGCTCTATGATTTTTCACTGATTTGTAGTGGGATGTAAATAAGCATTTGTGCCAGGTAGCAAATGCAATGATTTGCTGTAACTCTTGGGTATTAAAATCGCAAATCACCACCGCCAACAGGCCAAAGGCCTGATCACTGAAGCTTTTGAAAGCGTGCCTGGAAATTCCTCAGGATTGTTTGAGCTTTCTCTTTCAGAGGTTTTAGTTGTCATAGGTGGCAGGAGGTCAGCTCACTGTTGTAGCTCACTGTGCCTGCGGGACAGACTATCGACACATAGTTATGGGTGAAGGAGCAGAGGATGGTCTAGTTTTGGTTGATGTGAATTTTTCTAAAGTGAATCCTGACAGGTCAGCTCCTGCCTATTATTATTATTTTATTCATATAGGTCTGATATTACTGCCTACTCTGACTTGTGCAATACCTCCAGATTATACTGTTCAGTGATGCAGTTTTAGTTTCTTTTCTTTTTGGTTTGTTTGTGTAAGAGGGTATATTGAATTTGATGTTTCCCTGTGGTACTATAATTTATACTAAATTAATATTTACCTCTTTCAGCCACTTTTAACCTGTTATGTGCAATATCTTCAGCTTGCCTGGGTGTGAGTGTTAATACAAAATCTAAGAAATACATTTGGAACTTCGCTAGATTTTAATAATAAACTTCATACATTTAATCAATTTCATAATTAGATTGAGATGTTAAATGTATTTTTATTTCTAAACTAATGTTTACTTAAATGAATTACGAATCAGTGTTCATTTTTTTATTGCCACCAGGGTATGTTAGGATCTGTTCCTTCGAAATCCAGTTGAGTGAACTGACCTTGATGAGCTGCCCTCACTCCACACTGAATCAGTAAAAAACCCAAGAAAGTTGTAACGTGGCCATATCAGATGAAGGTGTTCCAGTTTGCTTTAATCCTGACTCCAGTAACCTGGAAACTGTCTACCCAGCTACATGCAAAAACTTGGAGGGATCGTCCATTGAGCCAAATTTCATTATCTGCCAGGTAATTACAGCCCTTGCTATCTTCAGCAGGGAATTACCCATGTAGGACCTTTTGTATTTGTTCTTCTCTTGTGGTGTGTTTGTTTAATCAAACTTACTTACCTGCAGCTTTCATTCTGCAGCTAGAAGGCCCGTAGCAAGGTAGAGGAGCTGGCTTTTGCATTATGATTCAAATGAAGTTGAAATTAGGATGAAATTATGTTCAGTAATTGATGTTAAAATGTATGTTAGAATAAATGATCCTTTGATAAACTGACTCTGAGGATTGTTATGATGTTTCTTGTCTGCATCCTAAAACAGGATGAAACTGTAGTGCCTTGTGATTAATAGTTCTGTCTTGCGCTGTACCTTTCTGGCACAGTGAACCAACCAGATCAGCTTTTAAGGAAAAACTTGTTTGGAAACAAACCAAATCCTCAAAACCTAAAACCTCATACAGAGTAAAACACACACAAAAGTGTCTTCTCCCAGACAATTAGAACAGCTGCCTTAACTGTTGAGGTAAATAGCAAGGATCAGAATAACTTTCAAATGGCATAGGAAATTATTTTTCTACTTTATTTTAATCTGTTCTGTATTTTCATTGAAACAAAGGGTCTTTTGGAAATAGCGCACTAAGCTATGCTTAGAAAACACTTGTGTTGCATCATAGTGGCAAAAACCAACCAAGCAATCAGCATTTTCAGCCATGCCAGGTGTTTTGCAGGGTTTGATCAAGTCCAGATTGTCAGGAAAGGATCTACATTTTAGCATTGGCCTTTTGAGGAAATGTAGTTTCAGTTCCATTACATGTGCAGAACTGAGACTCTAGCAAGAAATCAATAGGTCCTGGTGACTTAAATACTTATTTTTCAGGTGGTCTGTGTTTCTAAATTGTATCTCATATTATGCATTTACCAAGGCTTATTTAAGGAGAAGTGGATTTGCTTGTTTTGTAGGAGCATTTTACCCCTCACATAAAAGGAGTTCACTTCATCTTGTCAAGTTTTCTTCTGCTACTTCTGTTGAAAATGTTTTATTTCTGTTTCTCTTCGTTATCCTGCTTTGCCTTTTCTTCCTAAGGCTTGCAAGGAAGTCTGCTTAGGCTGAAAGATGGCAGGAATCTGTTGGTAGTGGGGAGATGTCTCAAGAAAAGCTGTAATAGTGTTAGGAATTTATTGTGGTATTTCTTGGCCAAAAGAAGATGAGCAATAAGACAAAAACATTATCCTGCCAAGAATATGCTCAAGGAGGTAATTAGTAATAGTCATAGAAGAAAAGAACAGGTACGGAAACATGAAATTAAATGTAGCTAAGTATGCAAACCTGCTCTTGCTGTGGGTCACTATTGGTGATTTTTAAAGCAAATAGACTGGGCAGCACCAGCTTCATCTTATATTTAATTGCTGATCCTAATGGCAAATACTGTTGCCTTCATTTTCAAAATACTTTCTTGCAGGTGGGCACTGAAAAGGTGTGGGGCCTTTACTGTGGCATGATGTTCATCTCCTCTGGAAGTTCAGCCTTCAGCAGCTGCGTGGGGACTTGTGCCTCATCTGACAGTACTGTCTGCTAGGGCAAACCATGCTACATGGGCAGCAGCTTTGTGGCCTTCCCCCTTGGTTGAAAGCTAGGAGCCACCTTCGTGCTTTACAGCATGGCTGACAAGGGAAGTTATCCTATATATTTTACTAGTTTCCTTGTGCAGCCAGTTGTCTGTTGGGATTTTGTTTTTTGTTTATTGAAAGTTAGAGTTGAGCTTGTGTCTCTGAAAAAAAAATATGTTTTGAATGCCTCATAGTAGTTAGAATATTTTTCAGTCTCATTTTTAACCATTTTTAAACTGTATTCCCTCACTGGTAAGTGTAAGTAATTTAAGATTTAAATTTTTTGTTCTTTTCCATATAAATGTCTACCTTAAGATTAAGCTTGAATTAACTTCATGTTGTTGGCCATTACTTGCATTCATGGGTAAATTAAAGCGTCTGGTTCCCTGTCACTGATTTTTCAAATGTTAGTAATAAAAATTGCAGAAGCATTTTTAATGCCAGAGATTTAACAGATGTTGGTGGACACATTAGCTTTAGACACAGATTTGGCAGGGAAAATTTGAACTAAGAATGGCTGATTCTGTATTCTTTAGGTTTAATTTTAGCTTTACTGGCCTTTCAGGTGTGCTTGAAAGCAAGATGGATTATGAAGATGTGTGCCACAACTTATTGGCATGTATCCCTGAAACAGGAACATGTGAGATGAGAAACTCTTCATATGGCAAGATGCATGTAATGGCCAATATCAAAAGCTGTTCACCCATCCTTAATGACTATAACCTGAAACCTATTATGAAGTTCATTATAGGAGCTGAACTCTCTTCTTGCTATAAGCTGACTACTTTGTTTTTTTTTCTGTACTAACATTGAAGCTCACTCCTTATCCTGATGAATGTCTACATGTGGTCCTGAAACTCGCTGTTGTCCTGCATGTCTCCTGTTTCTCTTATGTCGCTACCTTGAGAGTGATTTCTCATAATTACAGCACATTTTTGTGAGGACACATTGCCTCTTCTGTGCTGCCAGACCCAGTCCTCAGAGTCGCAGTAGCTGGAGGGCAGGCAGAGAGTGTTTTGCAGCTGCTTTGTGAAAATCCCAGTGGCTGAGACCTTGGTGATGTTGGGACTCAGACAAATCCAGATGTTGAGAGTTCTTCCAGCACACATCCTGAGCTTCAAAATGTTCACAAATTGTTGTTAATAATAGGTGCAGCCTGTCTAAAGGTCATGCTTACACTGTACTACATTAATATCTACTCTAGCTGCAGTTCAGACTCCCTGGCACAAGCAAGTATAGAAGGAAAAAATTGCTGTAAGCCATTTTATACTCAACTAAATAAAGGCCAAGCCTCATCCTGGTATAAGAACAAAGCTGATTAAAAGCTGGTGTAATGTATTTCTAGCTGTTTGAGGTATTGTTCACATACTGAAGTGTTGCCTGTTGCTATAACCCTCCTGTACCCATAGCCAGACAAGGACTAGTGAATTGCTGATCTGACACTGACATGTCGTGTGATGGTTTCTCCACCCTTGGGGAATTCTCCCTGAAGAGTTGAATCCTGTCTCAGAACTGTTTTGCGCTGTTGGAACAGTTTAAAGAAGCTGCCTGCTGTCAGTCAGTCAAGCCTGTTGTGTCGAACAGATGTTTGCACTCCTGTCTCAGAACTGCATGAATTCACATCTGAGCCTTAACCAGACAAAGCACATTTGAGTGGGGTCCTTTTCTCTGTGTTGTTTGCTTTTCCACCCGTTTTAGTCTGCCAGGTATGTGCCAATGCTGAGTGCTGTGTGCAGGGATATCCTCTAGTCAGCACTCAAGTCTCTGAGGGATCTTTCAGACAAATAGTATGCATGTCTTTTACCAGAAGCTTTCTAATCTGACATTATGAATAATACAGAGCATGTCAAGAATGTCTCTTTGTTCTAATGGAAGTGGCAGGTTCCTGTGGTGGAAGTTAGGAGTTTTTGGTCTTTGGAAGGGGAGAGGTGCGACCTGCTTCATTACTGTGGGGAAGTAATTCTGCTTGGTGCATCTGTTTGTGCTCCTGATGTTTGCCTGTTTGTCTTCTTTCTTGGACTCCAGGGTGTTTGAAACAGTGACTTTTTCTTTTTTTCTCATTTATAGTAACCTGAGAGGTGAACCTGTTCTCCATCAGAGCCTGTGGAGTTTTCTGCACTACAATGAAAACAGTTGAAAAAGGCGTTGTAAGATATGCTATGCTGTAAAAACTATTTGCTTACATTTCTCTCAAATTTGTACATTGAATTGGTGATGAAAATGCAAGTCTGCGTTTTGATATCAGCTAAACCTAATGAAACCCATTTTTTTTCCCCATGAATTTCTATTTTTCCTTCTCGATATTCTTTTCCTTCTCGATATTCCTTACTGTGTCCAAAATATATTCCTATACTTCTGCTTTTCATATAAATGTGTGGATTGCCCTTCATTTTCAGAACGTCACCTGAGAGATCAGTGCCTTAGAGAAGCCCTGGGGGGACTTTTGTGTCTGCCTCCCAGGTTCAATTTTTTCAGTCAGAAAGTGAGGCAACTGTTCCAGCTGATCCCTGGGGAAGCGGAGAGGTTGGTGTGCCCAGGAGGGGTTAGCTGTATTTGACTGTGGGACCCAACCTCAAACTTCCTCAGCAACAGGAGAATTTTATTTTATGAGCTCTCTGATGTGGTCCTTTCATGCTTTCATACTGCATGCACATTTAATTTTCCTTTTGAACTGTCTAGTACATTTAGCAGTTGGAAACAGCTTTCTTTCATTCCACCAACTCCAGAGATGGAATCCTTCTTCTCTCCCAGTTCTTGTCTTTACAGTAAATCCATGTATCTTTTCAAGCCGAGCATTGTGCTTATGGCTTTACTTTTACGTGTTCAAGCAATTATCTAGTTTAAAAATAAAATATCTCATTACATTTGTGAGAAAATTTGCTTTCTTAAACCATTTGAAGATATTTTTATCAGGCCATTTCTCCAGCAGGGTTATGACCTCATCTTTTATTAAACTCCGTCTGACCTCACTTGTTAACAAAGGTCAGACATATTCGTTTCCTAGCTTCTCTTTTACCAAGTTGGGTGGTGGTGGTTTCCAGATGCTGATTACATCAAGTGGGAGCTGTTCAAAGTCCCCTTCTCTCATCCCTGCCATGTTAGCAAGTTGGGGGCTGTCTGTTTTGGTAGCCTAGATGTTGAGGTTGACTGGTGAGTCAAGAAAAAAAAGAAGATTTGAACTTGGCCTTTTATTAGAACCTTACTTTCTTCAATAAGGTAGGGGTTGATCTATTTTTCTTGCTTGGTAAAAGAAGGTCTCTGAAGTAAGTGTGATATGTCTGTCTTAATCAGGGATATGGCTCAAGGATAAAAGGAGCATCTTCATACTTCACTACTCCTCTCATTTTAGGTGTGTCCATGTCTAATCAGCAATCTAAATATCTATTTGCTTCTCCAGCTTAATTTATGACAAGCTTGGAATGTAATTTCTTTCTTGTTGAGAATTTAGGATTTTGTTTAACTTTTTAGAATAAAACAGTACCTGCAACTGTGTATGAGTTGAAGTTCCCACAGCATTTCAGTTTCTTCTCCTGGAAGAAGATAGTCCTATTTTAGGAATCAGTCATCTGTCCACCCCTGTTGATACTGGGACATAATATTCATTTGACATCTCTACAAAGCCTGTTTGTTTGGTCAGGAGCATACACATACAGCTGCTCCTTTGGTTTCATCTGATCCCTGAGTCCATCCATTCTGAAAATATGTGTTAGTGTGTCACTGCTGAGGATGGCACTTTCCTTTTTCACAGTCTGTGCCTCCCCCTGTTTATCACTCATATTGTCTTGGGTTAACTCTGTATCCTTACTATCACCTTTTCTGCCTTTTTCTATCTTTTTACTTGCTGGTTATGCCCTGTTTTGGCTAACCTTATTGCTTTTCCTGCTGCTGCTGTATTTATTGATGAATGGCTCATTTCACCCCAGGCCACATAATCAGTACTCCTTCTCTTTTTCCCCTTGCTGAGAACTTGAAAAATGTACTTGCAGAAATATTTGAGGATAGGACGTTTTGTGCACTTCAGGCCAAATTAGAGACACAAATCCCCTCATCTTTAATAAGGTGCACATCTAATGTTTCGCACAGCGCTTTGAAGATTTATGTCCCTGCCTCTGTTTCTCATTTAGGGCACAAACTACCTGTGATTGTGTTATGGTTACTGTTTCATCAGTGCTGTGTTTTTTATTTCATCCCACCTTTCTTTTTAACAACTCTCATCCTCTTTCTTGCAGGTAACCCAATTAGTGATTCTATTTCATGTCACTCAGTGGCAAAATCCTCGCTGCCTCCACTGGGCACAGGATCAGTCCTTACAGTTCTCTCTGATCTCCTTTTTCTCCCCACTTGGGATCGGAGGGCTGTGTGTGTTGTGTGACACAAAGGGTGGGGTATGATCGTGTTTGCAGTTTCTGGAAATGCTGCCAAGGCAATTGTCACATGCTGTTACTAAATATTGCATTTCTGTGGGTTCAGAAAATCAGAACAGCCAACTTCCCCAAGCCTTCCAATATGAGTTAGCTATAGAAATCACATCAATGCCTCCTTTTAAGGCATAGTGTAAAAATACAATGAGAGCCAAAAGTAGTTCAAGTCTGCAAAGAGTTCCACAATGCATTTATCTCCTTCTTTGTGTTTTTCTTGTAGACAAATTGTAAAATTGCAATTGTTTCTTGTAGATTTCTTTTATTATTATTATTATCTTTTATCAGATCTGTGTAGCTGTCTTCCTTGACTCTAGCTTTCAACCTCTTTAAATGGCTTCCCAGTTTCTGTGTATTTCACTTCTTAACTTCATAATCAGGCGAATAAAACTCTGTTGTATGTTAAGTTATGCTTTACATTTGTATATGGTGAGAATCACTGTTTGCTCTGTGAATACTACACTGAGGAAATGCTTTAATTATTTTTATTAAAAAGCTAAGTGAAAAATTCCGTTTCAAGTTATGGTAGGCAATAATTAATATGTTAATATGTTGAATGAGGTTACTGGTACTTTATGGTGTTATTGAGTGAGTGAAGGATGTCTGAAGTTTTAAAGCACAACAGTCTGCCTTTGGGTTTGTGCAGTTTTGGTAGCGTATTTGGGGTTACGTAATACAGCTAACACAAAATACACTGGAACAAGTTGCCCAGAGAAGTTGTGGATGCCCCATCCCTGGAAATGCTCAAGGATAGGTGCGACAGGACTTTGAACAACTTGGTGTAGCAGAAGGTGTTCCTGCTCATGGCAGGATGTTGGAACTAAATGGTATTTAAGGTCCCTTCCAATCCAAACCATTCTATGATTCTAGGAATATTATTTTAAAAAGCACTTGACATGCTGAAAAGGTTATTTTCCTTTGCTGCTCTTGAAGGCCCAGAAGGTAAAACAATTCTCATTCATTCTTTCCCCACCCCATTTTTTTTTTTTAATTGTATTGTTTTTTTCAGTAATATTATGGGCTCTATTCCTGAGAGCAAAGCAAAAAATGAAACTGTTCAGTAACAGGTGTAATGCAGATGGAACCTACTTTGGGAAAAGAAAAATGATCCTGTATTTCACAGTAAATATCTTGCTACTTTATGTGATTTCACTATGCAGTCAGGAGCTACCTGTTCCTTGAGTAGCACATTGTAGTGACCAGGTTGTCACAATCTCTTACTCTCAGATTTTCTTTCCTACTGCATTCATAAATGAGAACTCATGGAATTTGTATGGATGTAACATGCTTAGATCACAAGCTTTCATCATTGATATGTGTTTGAGTTGTAACAATAGTCCTTGTCATGTCCCTAGCATCTCAAAGACTAAATTATGGGATTGCTTGTGTGATTTGTCAATATATCAGACAACTTGATCTCAATTAAATTACCAGCTGTAGTACACACCATGTGTAATACACTGAGATGTCAAATCATAGCCAATATGCCTGTATTATTTTTAGATAGTCTATTTATTTGGGATTTTTCTGTTGTTGATTTCACTGCAGCTTTATAATTAAACCTGCCTCTGACATTGTGGGGAAAAGGAAAAGTGCTCTGTAGTTATGGCCAGTTAGATATACTGTCGTGTGTTAGGAAATGTTACTGCAGTGATAGCTGTGCTTCACATTGTTTCTGCCTGTCATTATTATGTGCAGTGTCTAGGGATCCTTAATTCATGTACTGTTTGACCCAATTGAGTGGATTGCCTTATTCAGTTAATAGCATATATATTGTCATGGCCTATTTGTGAATTTTAATTTAAGGATTGTCAGTCTGATTGCCTTCAACAGTTGTGTCAAGTCCTGAAAGCTTTTGAGATTTTGCTGCTTTATTTGTATGTCATGACCTAATTCTTTGTACACAGTAAAAAATGAACAGCTGCATGAGCATAGTACAGCAGTGATACAGTATGTGCAGACATCTGTACTGTAGACTCACAAATATAAATGCTTAAAAATGAGTAATGGTGCTCGAAGGCTAATGCATGTAAAGATAAGCAATCATGGGTGGGTAGGAAGCATTAGGATGAAAATTCCTACATGCAGAAAGGAATCTAGGATTTTCAGAAGGGTCTAACCAGATAAAGTGTCTAGCTTCTGTTGAAATGTATCAAAAGCAGGGCCTAAACCATTGTGTACTTTGAAAATCCAGCCAGGTACTGATGTGTGGTTTTGGATATCTATACACTTTTGAAAGTAACTATGGTAGATGGGAAGCCTGTATTTAACTGGAAGTCAATGGGATTTAGCCATTAGTGATTGTTCACCATGGAGAATAGATGGTTGCATGGAGACTTCATAGCAACCTTGCAGTATCTAAAGGGGGCCTAATAAGGGTGCTGGGCAGGGACTCTTCATTAGGGACTGTAGTGATAGGACACAGGGGGAATGGGTTCAAACCTGAACAAGGGAAGTTTAGGTTACATATAAGGAAGAAGTTCTTTACTGTGAGGGTGGTGAGGCCTCTTTGGCTGCCTAAAGAAGTGTTAAATGCTCCATCCCTGGCAGTGTTCAAGGACAGGATGGACATAGCCTTGGGTGATATGGTCTTGTGTGAGGTGCCCCTGCCCATGGTGGGGAGAGGGTTAGAACTAGATGATCTTAAGGTCCTTTCCAACCCAAACCGTTCTATGATTCTATATGTATTAAAATCATTCTGAAGTACTAGGGCACTTCTCAGTAAACTGTTTTATATTTCGATGCTTAGGGGATTTTCTCTAGAACAAAAACCTGATGAAAGTTAATTGGAGTGACTCAAATATATAAAGTTTTAAGTTCTTCACAGAAGTGAGGCATTAATGCAAAACTATCAGACGTGCAAAGTTCTTAGAACATAAAAAACAGGTGGTTTTGCCTTTAATGATTAATCTGAATCCAAATTCTTTTTTTTTTTCAGGCTAAGCATAAATTTTCTGCTTTTTCAGTACCATGCCAAGTCTTTACTCTTTGAAGATGTCATTAAAACCACCTCAAAGTACCTTTGCCTCACACAACGTTATTTTTGGGAATTGTTTAAAGGTAAGCAGTAATATAACTTAGTGTTATAAGGTGAATAATTAAGAAATGAGAAGAAAGATGAATCAATGTGCTGTCCATTAAATTATTGTTCAATCTGATAATTGGGTTTTAGTTATATCTAGTTATATAACAATAATTCTCATGAAGCTCTGGCTTTTTAAACTGTCCTTTGTTTGACTCTAATTTGTTTGACACTATTCACTTGCATCTATGCTTTTCCAGCAGTTTTTTGCTAAACTTTAAATAAGCCTCTTACTTAGGCAACCAGACACATTAACAGAGAAGACAAGGTACTCCATTTTAAATGGAGGACCAAGTTGAAGAAGGGCTGTTCCAAAGTTAGTGGTTGAATAGTGTGTCTAACTGCACCATTATTGTAGGTTCAGCAACACTTGAGGTGCGCAGAATTCTTTGGAATGTAGATCAGTTATGAGGTATGAAAGGGGATAACTACTCTTCTTGTTTTACTGTTTGGGGACCTGTCACATTAAATGTATGTGCTGACACCCCTATGCTCTGAATATTAAAGACCTCAAATATAGAAAAACAGAGACTCTATTTTGAGTCTCTTGTGCAAAAATTCCCTTTTTCTGTCACTCGTGTGTTTCATAGCATATATTAACTTGTGGAAAATCCTATAATGAAAGATAATATTCCTTAAGTCCTGTGCCAGGTAATTCCCAGCCAATATGTTATTGCGGTCACGCATTTGTTCCAAGAAACAAACTACTTCTAATGAGTGGGAAGGAGGAAAACTTCAGTCCTAATGCTATATGTTCCATCTATCGGAAGTATTTCTGATTCTCAGTTGTTGCTGGAATTCAAATTCTGACCAACTTTCACTTTAATTCATGTTACTTACGGAAAAATACTTTAGCAAGTATAAATTTTCTCCTAGACTTTTGTGCAGTCATAGGAATGACAGGAGTTTGTTGAATTTAAATGCAGTCACATATTAAACTCTTCTCTCTTAATTTCAGGAGACAGCTTTATAAAGTTTTGCTCTTATTATTTTATTTTTATACAAGTGATGACAATAGTGGATGCTGAGGTACTACAGCAGCAGGGAACACACAGGAATAGTCTTATTTATATTTCAAATGACTTTCAATTTTTTAACTTTTGTCATGTTTTTCCTTCAATTACAGGTTGATATACTGTCCTCTATCTCTTTGTAATTGTGCTGTGGAGGTGATTCTAAAATAGTATGACAAATCACATATTACTGAGCTCAGTGTATGCCAAAATTTGTGTGTATCTAGTACCTGGGAAAGCACTGACAGATGAACTGTGTTCATGTTCTGCAGGTTTCTAAATATCAGAAATTAATTTGTTCTATACATCAGTAGGATAAAAGTCTTGGAAAAGTGTTTAAGTTGAAAGATGGGAGGATGCTTTTGGGTAACTTAGTGTCCTGTTGAGCAGGGCTCTTGCATGGCTTTGGAATCTCTTCCATGGTCAGATTAGGGACTTGGACTTCTGCTCTACAAGCAGGTGGCTTTAGCATCCTGCATGTTTGCTGATGGGCTCTGAGCCTCTTTCTGTATTTCTGCAAGGATGTTCCACTCTGTAAATATCAATTTAGTCAGGAGTTTAGCCTTGGCTTCCACATCCAAGGTGACTGTGTTAGCTCCCTGGCTTATGGAGTTACACCTATTTTTCCATTACTGAATATTGGTTATTTGTGCAAAGGGGAACATTCCAGTAGAAAACATTGCGCAAATCTCAACCAAAAGAATATAAATCCAGAAAAGCAGGGACTTGAAGGGTGTCTTTTTTTTCTGTTTAAACATAACCTCTACTGGACTTTGTGCTGAAACTAATATTGTCATGAAAATGTCTGAAGAATTTCCTTTCAGAATTGATAGACTACACAAAAAATTCTGTTCAACTTCACTTACTAGTCAGAAAAAAAGCAGTGTCAAATGATATGTAGAAAAAGAGCAGTGGTTTGTTGCTTGCATTTCATAATTTCTTTAGGAGATATTGCCCACAAAACAGATCAACAACTTTGAAAACCAATAGCCTCAAAAGGTTCATTGATTTGCCTGTAAAGGGGGGCTGTAATCTTCAGAAGTCACTAGCCCTGGAAACAAAGACTTTAATTCTTATATTACTGGATATATTTCCCCATCTGTAAACTGCAGAAAATTATAATTTTCAGAATAAATTCACAATTTAAACCTGCAAATTACAGTGTTTCTACTGAAACAGTTAACTTGCCATCGAGAATTCTATTGTGTTTAAATTAATATAGTGATATCCATGAGCATTAAGCTAATACTGCTCTGTTATAGAAAGCAGATGAATACAATCAGTCTACTCAGTGGGAAAGGCAAAGGATAAATGGTTTACTAGTTTAGGTGACTTTCAAGTGTTTTCACTATTTTTTTTAAGTGTGTTCTCTCTCTCTGTATGTATGTATAAAATGTGATCTTTTTCCTGTATGAGAGCTGTTTTTGATAAAGGCTGTTTTGCCACTAATCTCTTTTTTAATCATATTTGTTTTCTAGAATTTCCTAAAAATCAGCTGATTTTTAGATAGTTGCTGTTTCCAACCATATGGCAAAACCATGAAAAAGTGATCGACAGAAAGTGGAACACATCCCACTGGATTTTGTTGCATTGCTCAAAAAGCCTCATTGCAGTTTTGGCAACAGTACACTCTTGTGTAGTGGATGTGCAGCATAGCAAGAGAAAAAAACACACACTAATACCTTTGTTTTCACAGAACCTTTTATGCATGATGCAGGAATGAGTGTGATGAATACTGTGGATAACAGAGCCATCATCGTTTGCACAATGAAGCTTTTTATGTTGTACAATTTATAGTTCTGTTGATCCAGTTCATTGTGGCTTTTTTGTCTCACCAAACTAATGTTTGGGTTCAAATGTTCACTCTGATGTCAAGGTCTGATATTTTTACCTCTCCCTTTCTCTTAATTTTATTGTTTTTTTTTTTTTTTTTTTTTTTTTTCTAAGCCAAGCATTCCCTAAATTAGTTATAGTAAGAAGGCTTATTGTGGAATGTGATATAATTGGCAACTGATTGTTGATGTAGGAGATTTACGTTGGCCTTATAGTAATAGTTTCTCATAATTGGAAACATATGATTTTTAGTGTCTAGACTTGGGAACTTTCCCAGGAAGGAGTTCCAGGTGGTTATCTAAGCATAATAGGCCAAATAGCTACCACTTAAAGTCTGCAGACATGGGAAATATGTAAATGTTGCTAGCAAATGTAATTATTTCGTAAATCTAAGTTTATATATTGCAACATATCCATTTGCATCTAATGGTTTGACCAGTTGATTTGCTTTATAGATTCATGTTAAAACTTGAAATTTTTTTACTTGTTTGCTCTCTAAATTGAAATAATGTAAAATACACAGATGAGAAGTTCTTGAAATGCCTGGATATCAAAAACTTTTAATTTCATCATGTACCTAATTTAGTTTCATTGATGTGTGAGTCCTTGGCTTGAAATAGCAAATAGTTGCAGTTTATTTATTGAATTAATTCTGTGAAACTTAGTATAGTTAAGTTACATGGCACCTTGATTTTTGTCTTCATGTGTTAGTGTGCTGATTTCTGAAAAGACCTCAGAAAGGAAACAAGTTTGGAAGTTGTACAGCCTACTAAAGCATGTCGTGATTTGATATTCTCCTGATCCCAGTTTGTCTTGAACATGCTCTGCGCGTTAAAACATCCCTGGAGAAGGAAAGCACAGTTGGCTATCCCAGCATGAATACTCTACAAATATTGTTCTGGGACCTGCACAGCCTGTGACTCACAGTGAGTATTTTCAGCTCTGGTTCTGACTATACAATAGGAAATACAAAAGAAAATAAGTAATTTGCTGGTGCCTAACACAGTATGACTTGATCACTGTGGCTCGCACAGAGAACACAGGAGAGCTGCAGCAGGAGACGTGAGAAGTCCTCTCAGTTCACTTTTCATGTGCTAGATGGTTTTTTCTTGTTCTTGTTGCATTTTTTTTTAATCCTACCTGTTAAGATAGCAAAGAATGACATAAGTTATCTGGCTCAGCAGCCAAGTGTGTGGTCCAAATTATTTTCACAGAATGCCTGACAAAGTCTGCTTGCCTGCCTGCCTCAATCATTTTTCTGAACTAATTAGAAAAGTCTGCCAAGCATTGTTGGGCTAAGGCAATAATTATTCTCAAACAAATGCTTCAATTTTGCACAAGTTAGGAAGTGTCTCTGTTTTAAATGACTATATGCCAAGATGCCAGAGTAGTCAGACCAGTTTCGTTTATCAATATGTCTAGAAGCCCCAGAGGACTTAAAGAGAGAAAACCATGTGAAAGCAAATGACATGCTTTTACATGGTGCTCTTTTAGGAAATAATGCTGTAGTACATCTTTTAGTATATGCTAGTTTTTAATGAGAAGTAGCAGGTCTATTTTCCTTTTGGAAATTTTTTTTTTTTTTCCTTATGATATTCCTGAGTGTGTTGATCCTCAGATTCTCTTGGTTTTGGCACCGAATTAAAGGAAGGTTTGTTATTAGTCATGCAAGACTGGCCTATGTAATCCTTTCTCATGTTTTATAGTCTGCTCATCATCACCCTGTTTCAGCATTGAAGAAGGCAATCTCTGATTGCAACTATGTTGGAAACTCTTTCCTTGTAAAACTTACTTAAACTTGGCAATTGGAAGAAACTTGAACAGTTTAAAGGAAGTTTACAGCTTGTTTTCCAAGCAATGGTGCTGTACCTGGACCTGAACACCATGTTTCCCTACTCGGAGTCAGGTTCCAGAATAGTCTCATCTCACCTCTGATCCTGAAATGTCTAAGTCACACTGATTTACTTGAGACAGAGTTCACAGTCTGATTGCTTTGGTGTGTCACTAATGAGATTTGTGCCTCTGATCAGTTATGTCTTTGCTGGTGTGTTACACTTTTGTCCTGTGTCTCTGCCACTGTTTGCCTTCATTCCAAAAGTTCCTCTGTAAGAAGCAGACAGATTGCCATGTTC